TCTCGTAGAAGCTTCTGGCTGCCACCCTGCCGATTGGTACACGAAAATATAGCATAAGTAAGCTAACTTACGAACGCTGTTTTTCGCTGCCTTAAGTCTTAGCAAGGGCCTAGCTGGTAGCATCATACTAGCTTTGCATGAATGAAATCCTAATGATGCGAGGTACCCTCATTTTGCCGTAAGTCGTTCAGACCATTAGCGAGGAACATTAGTCACATAGATAAGACACTAGTATGTGCCTTATTCATCGGATAACCATGAGAATAGAGATATAGTTAGGTTGATATTTCCACAACATGCCCTTCTCGAAACAACAGCAGAAGTGACTTCAAATTGCCTGCCGATGATCCTACTCGATTTTTCATATTTTTTTTTTTAAAGCAAGCCACAGTTTTCACTGGACACCAACATTCAGGGCATTAAACAAAGAGAGATTGCCAGCTATTACTAAGATACAGTGCCTATCAAAGAATTAGAATGCCCGGACATACGTGTGCATGCAAACGAATTCAAGCAAATTGACATCACGCATCACGCTTCATTTGAACATGCAACGAGCTGAAGTAAAAGGCATCACACTCACATCGCGCACCAATTATACATGCAAACGACTTCAATTGATCGGGCTCCACACATCACGCGACAGCCATCACTTACACATGCAAACGATTTTAAGCTAGTATATATCAAACATAGAGGCACATGTCACGTTCGCATCATTGACCATGATGAGCCCTGTATGTTGAGATTTGGTCGCCGACTTTTTATAAGAATAGATTCATTTATTTTCCTGTCTGGGTGATCCTCATCGGGTCCATACTTCTCTGGATTTCTGCCAAAGCATGTTTTGCCCCAAAATGATCACCGAAAGGGTTATTCCCTGTTTTGTTTTAGCGTCGATCATCGGCGGGCAATTTTAAATTTACTTCTGCTATAAGTTGTGATAAAAGCATGGTGCCGAAATACCAACGCATTTATATCTCTATTCTCCATGTTTAAGGCGAGGAAAAAGGCTATTACTATTGTCTTATTTGTGCGCACAATATTCCTCGCAAATGCACTTAACAGCTTACGTAATTTTGAACCGAATAGTAGGCATCAGGATGTGCTAGCTGAAACTCTTAAGGAGCCCAGAAAAAAACTAGCTAAAACTCAATTGCACATTGAATTCTTAATTGTCTGCCGGAAGAAAAGCTTAGTCCCACGGTTCATTGAAACGTACTGAAGCCTGTGACGCACATTTTCTCCAAGAATACTAAGGTACACGTTCTGATAACTTTACTGATGTTTTATTGAACGAGGCAATTCACAGAAACTTTTGGAAAGAAGACATTTTGGAACGATGACACTCACGCTTACTCGGATCGATCTCATTTTCCTCGAGTATACGCTTACGCATTATATACGCATATACGCATTTTCCTCGAGTATACGGTACGCTTACATACGTGCGACTTGTGAGCGAGTTTTTGAAATCACTCTTCGTGAAAATAGACCAAGACTGGTCAACAAATTTGCATAACTATTCAAGCTAAGTACCGGGTGAATTACTGCTGCGAAGAACAGGTTGACGGTCAAACAAGTCAAAAAGGGAGTGTATAATTGTCATCCATAGAACTTAATACCACAGACTTAATCTGCTAGCCAGAGGTCCGAACTTTGCGCTAACGCGGGGCAGCATGTAAGGATATTTTACTATAAGTAGAACAACGATTTGAGCGTTTTGCATACGGCAGACGATGGAAGGACTGCATCTCAAAATAGCGTAATGGTAGCAACACAACTAGCACTGCAACTGCACCGGGCCAAGATCGACCATCTTCAGTAGACGACGCAACAGTACCATCAGAACCACCGAACGCACGTTGTTGCCCGGTGGGACAGACGCAGAAGAATCGCAAAGATCAGCCTCAACGAGATCACATCCCAAATCTGTCGCTTAGATTTCCAGACAATCGGTAAGAACTTTCCGGAACCTGTCAGTATGAAGATGGAAGTCAGCCTACAGAAATTGAAGGATGATGTACTGCGCACGTTCAAAAACCGCAAAGTAGGCAAACTTAATGTCACTGCAGATCAGCGGAGCAATTATCAGGGACCTTGGCAAAAATGATGATATCATGGTTAAACAGGGCGTTAGGTGTGAGGGTTGTGTAATCTTAGACAGGCCAACTTATGTTAACAATGCTAAGGCTATACTTAACGACAGCGACAACTATGAAAAACTGAATAGGAATCCTGTCCCTCCGGAAGGCTAAAACAAAACAAACACTAAAGAGCACAGTTAGCAGAAAACTTTCGGACAAAACCATCAATGATTTGACACCTAGACACAGCAGAAACGCCTGTATTCTATAGAATGCCTGAAGATCACAATCCTGCAGTGCCCCTTAGACTGTCATGTCTGCGTGCGGTGGTCTTACAGAAAAAAACCTTCGTGCCTTTTAGAGAAATACTCAACCAACTCTTGAGGTTTGCTCCCACTCGTCTGTGGGACACCATAGACTTTTTCAAAAGGCTTCTAATCATTCGCAGGCAGAAGGGTTACCAGAGGACAGCATTTTCTTCGGTATAGTTGTAGTCAATTTATGTGGCAGTATGCCAGTCAATGAGGCTATCGGTGCAGTGAAAGCTAAGGTTGACAAATATTTCACTGAGATTGATGCTTTTGGTCTACCAAAAGAGGATATCTGCGGTCTTTTCGGACAGTGTCTCCAGGATGATGTTTTCTCGCTCTGAGATGACATCTATCGACAAAAATTGGGAATATCAATGGGGAGCCCATGCGCTCCTCCTCTGGCCAAAGTATTCTTAGACCACTTTGAAACGAAGGCCCTGGCCGCCAGCCCATCAATATCAAATTTCTTAGCTAGATACATTGATGATTGTGCTGGGGTATGGACGCAGGGACAGCGTGCCCTTCAATAGCTTTAAGAGTTCATGAATAACCAACATCCAAATCTAGCTTTTACGATGGAGCATACAGGGGCGGAAAGGGGTCCCTATCCGGGTACGCTAGTGACAGTGGAAATGAGGAACAACCGCACAACGCTAGAAACGGAGCTCTTTATCGAGCCCACCAATTCTGGTGTCATTCTGCCCTGCGAATCTGCGCATCGAACTTCCACTAAGCACAACATAATTCGTAAATTGTTCCATAGGGCTCTAAACAACTAATCAAGCAGTGAAAAGGAAAGAAAGAGAGTATGCAAAATGTGGAGTTTGCTGTTGGGTAATGGATATTTTCCGCAACTTTTAGGTGGAATGTTGGAAGGAGAAAAAAGTATAGAGTACGTCGGGGAACGGGTGGTGGGAGGCGCGAATGCGTCCTATCGGAAAACGGATTCTAACGATACCTTACATAATCGAGCACTTGCTTTGGAAAATCAAGCACATTGTTAAAAATCAAAACTGCGCGTACGCATAGCTTGCGAAAACGACAAGAAGCTTAAAAAGTCCCTGGTGAAATCTTCCATCTCGATGCCTAAGTGCCCGGGTAGCAGCACATGCCATTTATGCAGTTCTGGTTTTCAAGGGGTTTGCGCGCAAAAGAACGTGGTTTACGAAATCTAGTGTAAACTGTGTGAAAAACAAGGGAGGGACACAGCCTTTGCCGGGCAGTCCATGCGCTCTATTGGCTTGAGATATAATAAACACATGCGAGACGCTAAAAACAAAACAGAGAATACCCCTTTCAGTGGCCAGTTTTTGGCAGAACACGCTCAGGCCGAAATCCAGGGAAGTATGGACCCTATGCCATTTTTAGAGCTGGAAGTCATCCACAGAGCACAAGATCACCCAGACATGAAAATAGGTGAATCTCTTCTTATGAAATGTCGGCGACCAAATCTTAACACACAGGGCCCATCATGGCCAATTATGCGAACGTGATATGTGCTTCTATGTGTGATGTGTACTAGCTTAAAATCGTTTACATGTGTAATTGATGCCTGTCGCGTGATGCGCGAAGCCCGTCCAATTGAAGTCGTTTGCATGTATAATTGGTGCGCGATGTGTGATACCTTTTACTTCAGCTCGCATGCATGTTCGAATGAAAGGGTGATGCGTGATGCCAATTTGCTTGAATTCGTTTGCATGTACACATATGTCCGGGCATTATAATTCTTAGGTATGCGCTGTATGTTGGCAATGGCTAGCAATCTGTCTTGTTTAATGCCCTGCATGTTGATGTCCAGTAAAAACTGTGGCTTGCTGTGAAGAAAAAAAAACCTGAAAATCGAGTAGGATCGTCTGCAGGTGATTTTGAAGTCACTTCTGCTATTGTTTCGAGGAAGGCATGTTGCCGAAATGTCAACCTAACTATATCTCTATTCTCCTGTTTTTCCGAGGAAGAAGGCTAATGCTAGTGCCTTATCTTCATTTTGATATAAAATAAGCACGTGGGTCCCTTATTGCCTATCGGTGGAAAGAACATATCCTTTCTTGCCAAAAAGCGTGCCAGGTTAGGACTGTCCCCACCCCCCCCCCCCCCCCCGCCCCCTATTCGAATATAGAGGTGGACGCGTCCATACTCCCCCGATGGAGCCGCCTCTGACACTAACCGGGGCGGAAGCCGACGCCAAAGGCTCAAGCCGGTCATTTTAACAGAGAAGAAACGAAGCGCAATGAAAATTGGGATGCCGACTGCCATCTTTTCTCTCTAAAACTTGAATGGGAAGTGCTAAATGGAAGCTCTAGAGGTGGTGCCAATTAAGTACATGTTGCTGGTACTCACGCTCACGCCACTTTAATAACTTTACTTTCTATCACAAAGGTCGGGGCATAAGTTGAATCGTGTTAAAAACAAGACACATATTGTCGTGGAATTAACTGAAATATAGCCTGCTTTGCTTCCATGAACAGAAAATCAGGCACTTGTAAGTGTATTGAACATCATAGTGCAGCGAGGCAATGTTTTTGACCAACAAAATTCAAACGATATTTTGAGGCGATTGCGTCGCTGCTTGTAGCGCGCTTCCATATCCATGAATGTTCTTTTTTGCTGCCGTTGAATCTTGCGGAATCGTGCGCGCTGTATGCCTCGGTTCGGCGTGTGGGGGTTGGGCCGTTTCATCCAGCATTTCTGGGCAAGCATCTCGGTTGCGAAGCCAAATGGGGAGAGGGCGGTCCAACTGAGGACATCTTGTGCCGCTACGAAATCTTCCTTCCATTGGTTCGTATTCTTTGGTGCATGAGTATAGTTACAAAGGCTGCTCCTTTGTGTTGTGTTGGGTCGTCTTAACTAACCTATTCGTGTTTGAGGAAATGTGTTATCACTGCACTCTTATGTCTTATTTCATCTGCTGGTGATGCACCAGGGCCTGCTACTTAAAACACATTTTCATGGCATTGTGTAAAGATGGTTACTGGAGAGTCAAATTGCTGGGTGTTCAACTTGAAATGTCACTTCAATGTGCTGGAGAGGATGCCAGGAAAAGGCCAAGCATGTGCCTTGTGGCAAGTATCTCTGAAACATTGTGACATCTTGGCTGCCATATCACATGATTATTGTGATCAGGACAGGCTCTCATTCATTCAGCAACCATAGGGCATCTGCTTCCACCAACATCTATTCTCCATTCAGACGGCTCTTGTGCGCCTCATGACACAGCTCATACTGCATACTACATCATCATACTTATGAGCGATAATTATGGGCAAGCAGTGTCATTGCCGAACCATGTTACTTAGTATTCAAATAGCTAGCGGACCATGTTTGGTATGCTGGTTGAAATATTTGTGGGGTAAAAGAAGATGGCATTGAAAAGCTATGTTTGCATATCATACCTATCTCAAAATACTACCTAAAATAGAACATCTGCAGGTAAATTAAGACAAATTGCACCATGTACAAAGGAACACAGTTAACTTGGGGTGCAGACTGCCAAAAATATATTACATCATACTTTTCCACATGTGAGGTTATTGCTTCAGGGAGGTCTGAGTTTGATGCATATGATCACGTGGTTCAAAGCTTTTGTCAATAGACAAATCATTTAAAGAATTGGAGTTCATAGTACAGGAATTTGAAGTTCAGCATACTGATGTAACTGTGACTGGCCACCTGGCACAGTGGATAGCTTTTGTGTAAACTAGCTTGAGGGGTCCCTTATAATAACCCAGGGCTAGCTCAGGCTGCAAAAATGCATGTATGATGTAGCCACAGGAAATAATTCAATACATGCACTCTAAATTGAGTGGTCAGTGTTTGGCACCCAAATGCAAGCAGTTTCATGATATAGAAGCTAATGTTTGACTGAATTATCATGTTGAGAAGTCAAATTGGGGTGAAAATGCTAACAAATTTTGTACTGCAAAAGTAATCTTTGAAATGATAATTTGGCACATATGAGTTTACTTTAGCTCACTGATGATGCATAGACATGAAGATTAGACATCCCCCACAGTGGATCAGTATTTAACATATGAGGGGCCAGGCACACCTTAGATTGATCCACAGCTCCAGGGCTTGAAAGTATTGTGCAATTGAGTTGTGTTTTATCTGGGGTACGTTGCTTCCACACTGAAAAGGATCATTGTGAATGTGCTCCACATAACACAGCTCGTTGTTTTCTCTGCATTCTCCTGGATATTCAAGGTTATTCAAGTGATATTCCAGGCTATTATGCAACAAATCCTAAAGTGCCTGAGTAGTAGTAAGTTGTGCCTGAAACCACTTGCACACAGTTTTAATTCCTTGAATCATTGGCTCTCTGTCCCCAAAAAGTAGTGGTGACTGTGTGCCAAACTTCAGAGCAGCTCTTTGTATGGTATACATGCTCTGTAATTGCTGGTTCAATCTGGTGTTTGCTGAATATATTCAGCACAACCTGATTTTATTTTGTTTTGTTAGTCTGACCAGAGACACCTTCTTTGTTATGTAAGTTACCCATGTGACAGTAAAACTGAGCTAACTGGCATGCAAATGACTGGGTGTGAATGAGTGTCAGCAAGTGCAGAAATGTAAAAATATGTTTGTTAGGATGGGTTTTGCTCAGCAAACTTGAGGCATCCAATCCCTTAATATTGCTGTTCAGTCTAGTATGTGCCCATTGAGATGAAACCAAAATTGACTGGGATGAGGAGGCTTTGAGCTGGTTGATGTAAAATTAGTTTGTTTAACAATTGGTTTGAATATGCAATGAGTGTCATGTTCATTTGTGTTGAATGGATCTTGTCAATTGGAGTAAACCAAATCAAAAATGCCAATAGCAAAATAAATTTCCCTCTCCTGAGTCTTCCTGTGTGTTCAGTTGAGGAGGAACATCATATGTTGCCTTGATCATCAAAAGATATACTTGAATGTAGCATTCCATATTTATATGGGGTTTTGAACTGAAAATGCCTTGAAAACATTTCAATGCTGTACACAATCCTTCCCCTCTTAGGCTTAAGCTCCTGTAGTTTCTGAGCTACATGCTCGCAAAAATGGGAAAGGTATATTGGACATTTCAAAGTCACCTTGGCATTCATTCAAGGTATCCATTGAAAGGTGTTTCAGCATTTCAAAGTCACCTTGGCATTCATGACAATAACATCATTCAAGTCCTGCCATTTCATAAGCCACAGTGATCAAGGTAAAAAAAAAACTGCTGAAGCATTCATATCTGGCATATGTGAGTGAGATTTCCAGATATAGCTGCTGCCAACTGGTTCTCAACCAATGTTGTGCAAAATGTAGGTATAATGACACAATTAAAACATGAAGCATCTAGGAGCATGTTTACTAAACATTGAATTGTGCTTTGTAGGGCTGTCTCCTCCACTTAAAAAGTATACTGATAGTTAAAAGTGAGTTTGTTTCATTTCAAATGAATACTTGCTTCAATTTTTTAAGTGTGGAACATTCCCTTTAATATGGGCACTTCTGGCACATTAGTATGGCAGTTGGTGCCTAACCATGTATTCAATTGAACTAAAACATCATTATTTTGGGAACTAGGCTGTGTCACCCTGTGCAGGAATCAGAATAGAGGAACTGATTGCTTAATGGATTAATCTGTTAAATGAGGTTAAGCTTCCTTGTGTGGAGAAGAAACATGTTGTTTGTCAAGGCCAGTTGGACCCAGACCACAGAGGTCTGACATATGATATTGGGCACAATGTTTTCTTGTACCTGTCCCAGTGAGGCCAGTACATGTGTTTGGTGTAATCTTGTTAAATGGAATGTTCCATTTTTGAACATATAGTAAGCATAAAATGTGATAAAACAAACCCATTCATAACCTTTGGTGCACCTTCAAGCAGAAAAGACTACTCTAAACACCATAAATACTCTGTTTAGTAAATATGCTTCTGGATATTTCATCACTGGATTATATCATAGCACCTTGCACAACATTGTTCAACAGCCAGTTGACAGTCATTATGTCTGTAAACTGTGCTCACAAACACCAGATATGGAGTTGACCATCACATTTCTGGGAGCCTTGATAGCGGCATAGCTTATGAAATGACATGATTTGAATGACATTATTATGATGCCATGAATGCCAAGGTGACCTGGAAATACTGTCCCTGAAATACTTTCCCCATTTTCTAGCTCAGAAGCTAGAGGGGCGTAGGTCTTAAGAAGGGCAGGTTGTTCACTGAACCAGGTCTTTAAGGTGGCTATTCCAACTCAAAACCCCACATAAATGTGGAACACTCCCTTTAAGAGTATGCATTGGGATGGAACAGAGATATAAGAAGAGGGTTGGGGGGAGGGTTGAGCTGTTTGTGCACTTATATGGAAATGGAAAATCATGACCCCAAAGAGATTGCAATTTTGAACCTGGGGTGAGTAGAGTGCTTTTGCAATGCCTAAGAACTCATCTGAGTCTGTTCCTAATGTAGGTATATATCTTCAAAACTAACACATGACAAATGCGGATCCCATTTCCATGTTTTGCACCTGGCTGATGGTAAGTGTCATCTGATGAATGGGCTAATTATGCTGATGACCACCAAAACACATACTCCTTATAGATAGGACCATCACTGATAACCCTCACAGACATTACTGATGCTTTTTAACTGTAATTTTGTATCTGTGTTGCATAGAAGCATGCAGCAAACTATAAATCTCACATATCACCAACAAACTGGTCTCAGCACTCATTGTTTGGAAAAAGGTCAGGAGGGTCCTCCCCTGTGTCAAACAGCAGCAGGTCACCTCTTGGCCAGATGCAACCTGTATCAGCCCATGACATCCAGTGTTTATCAATTTTGTTTTCTGCTTCTATCACTTTCTTACCCATCTTTTGACCCCTTGCAAGTGGTAGGGAACTGGAGCTGGAACATCACTGGATCCCATGGTGACCCCCACAGCAGTGGTGACCTCTTCATCAGTTGTTAAGGAGATGCAAAATGATTTCTTTTTTCTTTCTCTGGCCTTACTTTTGTAACATGGGCATATGTATCTACCTTACATTCTGTGATGATGTGCCTGATGTCATCTGGTTCTCAGTCTGGGCAACCTTCTGATCCAGCATTCACTGATCCTATTCACTGTCAACTTATAATCTGAGGAACCCCCCCCCCCCCCCCCCCCCACAAAATCCTGAGGTCTCAGATACATTCTCAGCACAAACATCAGAAGAACAGGGTCTTTGTGTAATTGCTGATGCTTGAATGCGCTGCATGTGAACCAACCAGTGATGTACCAGTATCTACATGTAATGAAAAATACTGCATACTAGTGCAGGTGTCAAACCATATGCATGATACTGGGGTTGCCAATGTTATGCAATAGACTATGCATCACCAGGGATTGTGTTTAAAGGGAATATTTGGCATTTAAAGGCATTAAAACAAGTTTCAGATTTGATGAAATAAGCTTGCTTATGAGTATACTTTTAAGAGCAAAGGACTTCTCTAGGTAGCACAATCGCTCTGTTTAGTAGATATGCTCCTCAATATGTCATTTTTTATTGTATCTGGAAGTTTTTTCTTGGATGCCAGATTTGAACAAGTAGACTTCTATTTATTATTGACCTTGATCAGCACATGTCTAATATAATGACAGGATTTGAGTGATACTTTTATGATGTGGCATATTCCCAGGTGGCCTGGAAATAGTTTCCCTCAGGTAATCTTCACATCTTGGCAGGCATGTAACTCATGAGCTAGATTGGTTTGGGTCTTAAGAAGGGCAAGGCTGGGAACTTTGCTGAATGATCTTCAAGATGACTATTTCAATTCAAAGCCCCATACGAATGTGGACCATCTCTTTAACAAGAGCTAGTTGATGTCTTTTATGCCTGTTTGGATTGTCCTGCATGTGTCAAACTCTCTGCTAGTCATTACCTATCTTTTTTACTTCTGGTATCAAGAACACTAACCTCCCAGCACCATTTCACAAGGAACTGGCAGTGAAGTCCGATTTCCCTGAAATGCATTACTTTCTGGCCTGGGAAAGGATGCTGGGCTACTTCTCTCACCATCAACTATTAGGTACAGGTTTGAGCATCAGTTTGTTAATGTGGGTGCTACATGTGCTGTGCTGAAGCGAACAGTTGGCGTCCAGTTAGTTTTGTCTGTTTTTACTGCTGCGCAGCCAGCATCGCAGTTGTGACTGTATATCCCAGCACATAATCATACATACTTGTCCTCAATCATATCCAGCAAGTTGCTCGGCTGTATGGCATGCAATTGGATGGTCGGATGTGTGTTGTTTCCGTATTTGACGTCTCTTTTGCGTCTTTCTATGGATTGTCACATATTTTTAATGCAGCTTAATTTAGGCACTGTGGTCAAAAGCATACCGCCGTTTTTTGTGATGATGTGCCTCCGCTGGTCCCTAAAGTGGGGATTCCTCATTTATATGAGGTTTGGAACTTAAATAGCCAACTTAAAGAGCGTCTTCGTCACTGGGGCTTTACAACGCGCTCAGCTGATGAGGCTATATGGCGTCGCCTGCCTCACACCTTGGCAGGAAGGGCGGGTACCGCAGGGAATCGAACCCCTTACCTCTGGTTTCCAATATGCCCGGTTGTTAAAGCGGACACAACCACTGCGCTACTGGCACCATATCTAGAAGATTCCACCTCATCTTGAAGATCATTTGGCACAGTTCAGCCCTTCTCAACACCTAGAGCCTTCTGGTTTCTGAGCTACATGCCCTCGAATATGTCCAGAAATTTTGTGGAGACTATTTTAAGGCCATCTGAGCATCTTTGACGCTATAATGGAAAGTATGATGGCACAATCAAACAATGATGTATTGTGGAGCATATCACTAAACCAAGAAATTGCACCACAGAGCAACTTTTCCTCCAGCTAGTGAAGTATGTGAAGATCTAGGGTGATATTTTTTCATCACATCTGACGCATGCTCCACTGCCTTGAAATGTGGAACATTCCTTTAATGCCTTGTTTCATTCTGCCCACATGTTACCTGTTATGAAGACCAAATATTTTGAAACCATGTTATGTATATATATATATATATATATATATATATATATATATATATATATATATATATATATATATATTACATCTATGTTACATCAAACTTTGACAATTTGTACATTCTGAACTCTAGGTATTGTGGGCATGTGCCCATTGCCCATTGCATCCACAAACTCCTGGCATTGACCACACTGCAAACAATGCATAGTTAGCAGGGACAATTCCAGTGTTGTGATGCCATCTACAAGGGGTAAAACTGAAGAATTTGACACCTTGGGTGACAATTCTTTTTTATAAATTGATGTGCTCCTCTTATCTAGAATGTTATGTTTTTTTTTTTTACTCAAGATTGTTTATTTACACAAATATTTGTCATGCATTTTGCTTCCTAGGAAGTTGTTTCATGGTAAAACAGATTTGTGCTGAATGTGGAGATGATCAGGTTGGTTTCAGCTTTGATACCACATTTTAAGAAATGCAGTGTTATCCTAGTGTCCATTAGGACCAGAATGAAATCAAGTCAGACACTATACAGAATATCTGCTATCTGTGAATTTCTTCCCAAAATGGTATGATATTTCTTGATTAGAAGTAATTCCAGGGTAGTTATCAAACAGTTTTTGAAAGCCATGAAGCGGTTTGTATATTGTGGGCTTCAAATAGTGATACTGGGGTCAGATCCCAGTCCTGGACCTTGAGACACCATTTCAAATTTGTGTCATGGAATGGTCCAAGATAAAGGATCTGTTTAGAAGTTTTGCTGATCACTGTTTGGAATCTTGGACGTATGGTAGAAAAGTGTCAAATGATCTGTGGTCCAGGATTTTTTTTAAAAAATTTTTAAAGGTCCCCTAAGATCGGATAACCTTTTTGAACCGTCGGATGTTCCTTCATAATCTGGGATCGTATTGGGGATCTAGGCAAATATGTGAATCAAGAGAGGTGTCATAAATGTCCTTGCATCCTGAAATGTAGAGCATTATCAAACACAATATTCTGAGGCCATGTTGCAAACATTACAAGGACTGCATGCATCGGTGAAGAGATCACAAATCCAAGTTTATTGATGTGTTGGTGGTGCGATTAGTTTGCAGTGACTTGATGTGGTGTGTGTACTCAGGGTCCGCGGATAAGGCGAGGATCTCCGCCAAGATGCCGATCAATCTGGCTGGCGCCGAGGAGGGTGTCAAACAGCCTCCCATCCTGGGCTCGGGTGAGCAGTGTAGCGGTGTGGTGCGCCACTGGTGAGCAGAGCAAGGCTGACCTAACTGCAGCGGTCTTGCCTCACCGCACTGCTGAACACGTCAGGCTGGACTGGGGCAGTGGGAGGGCATTCATCCAAACCAGCCTGATGCTGAAGCACGTATCGGGCATGCTCTCGGCAGGTGAAGAAACGAGTAGTGTTTGTACTGAGAACAGGGTTTGGCGCAAAAGGACCATCACAGCTGGCTCGCCCTGAAACTCCAATTATTACCGTCCAAGCATGTTTTTCATGCAGACGTCATTGGTCCAAAGCGCACACACGTTTTCACATTCGTGATTAAAGCCATTGCACACACATGGCCACAACGTATGCAGTCGTAAGACGGTTGTTAGCAGCCAGAGAGCATAAGGGCTCGTTGGCTGACGCGAAGGCGACTCGTCCCGAGGCCTGTTCCGTCCCGTTCTCTCCGTTCCGTTCGTGCCGCTGCCACTGAGCGTCCGGTGCGCCTGGCGCGCGCGTCCGCCGTTGGCTGGGCCGCCTGAGTGACGTCCGGCACGCGCTCGTGTCGGGCAGGTCGGCGCAAAGGTCGGCCGCGCAAGCTGCTGCTGCCTCCCTGCTGCTCGGTCGTGCCGCCGGCCAAGGCCACGGAGCTCATCCACAGGACGAGGAAGGCCCGCACCCACAACGCCATCACCAAGTACGTGCTGACGCCGCCTGTATTAGTCAGGCCAGATGTGGTGCTCCTCCGGTTGATGACACCGTTGTTGGCCCAATCGGTCCAGTTTGTTATGTCCGTATCTCCGTGATCGCTGGGCGGTGTCCATCCTGTGACTGCTGTGGCTATTGGTGCTCAGTCTGTGCCTGCTGTGACCAGTGGTGCTCAGCTTTTGACTGCTGTGGCCATTGGTGCTCAGTCTGTGACTGCTGTGGCCATTGGTGTTCACCCTTTAACTGCTGTGACCATTGGGTGGGGTTCAGTCACTTAGCTCTGGCGATGTGTGGTGCTCAGAATGTGGGCTCTGTGGTTGATGGGTGGTGCTCAGTCTGCGGGCTCTGTGGTTGATGGGTGGTGCTCAGTCTGTGGCTTTGGTTTACTGGTGGCGCTCAGTCTGTGGCTCTCGCTGGAGGGTGGTGCTCAATCTGTGGATTCTGGCTGGTGGATGGTTCGCAGTCTGAGCTCTGTCTCTGATAGGTACTGCTCAGCTTATGAACTCTGTGTTTGTTTAGTGGTCCTTAGATGTGGAATCTGGTTTATGAGTGATGCTCAATCTGTGAGCTCTGGCCGATGGGCGGTGTCGATTCCGTGAGCGGCCGGCGGCCTGCTGACCTCGTGCGGCGTCCGGCCGGTTACGGCTGTGGTGCTCTGTTCCAGCTACTTTTCGCCGCGCCGTCCGGACGCCGGCGCCGTACTGGAGGCGGCCGAGTGTCCGCCGCTGGCCGGGCCGGCTTGCACGCCGCCCGATCAGGGCGCCCGCCGCCGCCGCTCCTGTCTGGCGCTCGCCGAGGACGGCTGCGGTACGTGTGCCTCACATGGCGGCAGCCGGGCAGGCCTGGGCGGCGTCTCCGTCGCTCCTGGGCGCCTGCCGAGAACGTGACTCACATGCAGAGGGACAGGATTATTTTGACTGCCGCTGCCGCGTGGCACATTTAGAGGCCTGGATTAGCATTTCAGCCAGCTGAAACTGCATTCTGGCACTCCATTTTTACGGGCTTTTTCTTGGGCAAGGCTGATATAAACTGGCAGATAATCAGAAGGCTGTGATATCGCTCTTTCTGGTCATTTCTGCAGCATGAGTCATAGTTTTTTCTTACCATTCCACCATCTGCAAAACACTTCAGTTCATATGTGATTATTTATTTACTTACCGACTGCACATTTCCTGCCAGACACTTCAGTCCTTTTGGACTTACTATCCATCAAGTAGCTGAGCACGGCGGGCGATATGCCCTCCCACTCTCTCTGCAGCATTGCCTCCAGCTCCGAGGTCCTCTTGCAGGGGTTCATCTAGCTGAAGTGCGCCCTCGGGATGTTCCGCATATTCTCGAAAGGGTTCAGGCGGAGGGAGTTGCCCAGTCACGTCCTGTTGTCCCAGAGCCACGGGAGGGTCGCTTGGGTTCAGGCAGAGGGAGTTGCCCAGTCACGTCCTGTTGTCCCCGAGCCACGGGAGGGTCGCTTGGCACCGCGCTGGGGCTCTCTGTGCCGCGTGCCGTGTGTCCGGTTCAAATCCCAGAAATACCAAGGTGATTAATCGGGTTGTTACGCGTTCAAGGCTGAAAGCCGAACGTCACCCAGCCCTTCTAAAGACTTCATAACACCTCACGACGGGTGGAGAATTAACCGGCCGAAACGTTGCGTACATACTAATGCATCAGACGGGGACGATGACCGGAATAACCGTTCCACCTGGGGACATCCCCTCGGGGGGTAGACCCGAGACCTTAGCGGTGGTTGGCTGGTGGGATGGCTTCAATCGCCTGGACCAATGATGGCCTCGTCCTTCCTGACCCCGACTCGTGCATACCCCCCTGTGTTACGATGTATGTGTGCATGCATGTATGATGTTTGCTGCGATATTCTGGCAAAGCTCCCTTTGTGAGGAAGACAGAAGCGGCTAGATTCAGCGGTATGCTTACGCTGATGTGGCACGTACTACCACTTCTAGCTTTTGGGCGTGACCCGCAAATATGGGTAATCGGACATCCCGTTGCACATGTCTCAGAACGCATAACAATTAGGCTAACGTGCGTGCCATTTTTGTTCTACACGTCGCACGGGTGCACACGTCTAAGGTCAAGAGTGCCATGGTTTCGTGTCAAAGCATGATTTGTTTGAACAGCGCAATACACCTTTGCCATCATCCTGGCGCGCAATCCCGCTGCGGACATACTTCCCTGTTATCCTCAGTTTTGCTTCATCCTGTGTCCTCGCGACACCCCGCTTGTCCGGGGCAGGCTGCGTGCGTCAACCGCGAGTGCGCCGAGAGCCTCGTGGGAAGGGGAACCCGGCCGGGCACCCAGCGCGCATGCGCGGGATAAAGCTCGGCAGTTGGACTCCCAGGCGCATGCAAGTCTGCCCCGCTGTTAACCATTTTCCTACATCACATAGCCCTGAAATGATGACTTCTGGTCGAAAAGGCTGTAATCTAAAAACGTAGCCCCTCTGCGGGGGAAGCACATTTCAGTACGTGTGAGTGGCGTGAGGTGTTGCGTCTCACCTTCATCGAGCCCATCCGGTGTCATTCCTGACGAAGCTTCCCTGTCTGTGGACCTCTGGCATCAGACCCTGTTTGGTCCGTGACCTCGCCTCCCTCTGTCCGTCAGATGAGCCGCTGCACACCAGACCCTGTGTGGTCCGTGACCTTTCCTCCCCTGCCCGTCAGATGAGCCGCTGCACGCCAGACCCTGTTTGGGCCGTGACTTCGCCTCCCTTTGTCCGTCAGATGAGCCGCTGCACACCAGACCCTGTTCGGTCCGTGACCTCGCCTCCCTCTGTCCGTCAGATGAGCCGCTGGGCACGAGCTCGTCTGGGCCGCCGGAGGAGGCCGTGCTGGAGGCGGCGGCTGCCGGCGCACCGCGCACTCCCGTCAGCCCGCACAAGATCCAGTCGCTGGACTGCCAGCCGCTGCCAATGCGGCTGGAGTCGCGGCCGCGCCGACCGCCCCTCTCGCCGGCGCTCATCCTCAACAAGCCCAAGCAGGCGCGCAAGGCTGCCTCTGCCAAGGCCGGCCGCAGCAAGCGGCCGTGAGTACAACTGGGGTGGGCGGTGGCGCTGGTCACAGCCGGGAGCGGCAAACACTGGCGCCGGTGGGCGGGAGAGCTCGAGACTTGTCCGACCTCGCCCTGGCGCTCCGGTTAGAAATGAGGCGTGTTTCTGCTTGGCTGTTCATTCGTGCACTTATTTCGTTGACGTGTGACATCGACGTGATGTAGAGCTCTTGAAAGCACGCGTTGCTATGCCGACCGTTTCCACACTGATGGCTCTCGAATGTCGGTGTGGCTTCACCTGGGGACCTTTGCTATGCTTTTCATTTGGTAAGATTTGGTGAAGATTAAAGATACATAAGATGTGGCAAGCGAGTAGGAACGCTGAACATGGTGCTCCGGTGTTTCCGTCGAGTTCGTCGGAAGATGGTGTCGCCCCGGATACCGTCCCACGCCGTAACAGGGTCTCGGGTCACTGACGAACGGCGGCCTGGACCCCTGCCGGATGAGGAGCCTGTGCCAACCCTGTCATTGGGGCTGTACGACGCACTCAGCGGCTGAGGATATACGGCGTCGCCTGCCTGTCACCCTGCCAGGAAGGACGGGGACCGTGAGGAATCAAACCCCGTACCTCTGGTTTCCCAGACGCACAGTGTTTAACGCAGACGCGTTAAGTACTGCACTATCGGCACCCTTCCGTGCCGGCCCTGACGACGCCTTGTGTTCTCAGCAGCGGCGGCGGTCCGGCCGGCGGCGCCGCACTGCCGGCCGCCGCCGCCGACGGCAATCACAAGCTGACCGACTACTTCCCGATCCGGCGGAGCAACCGGCGCACCAAGCGGGCCCTGGAGGAGGAGCGCTCCTGCCAGATTCGCAGGCGGCTCGCCAACGACTGCGACGAGGGATTGGAGGTGGGACGCTGGCCGGCCGCCGCCGCCCTAGGCGCGGCCAGGCCCGTCTCTTTGGGTCCTTTGAATATAATTGTGATGCTTCCCAGCCGTCCAACGGACCAACGGTGACTGGTTGCGGGCAACGTGTTTATCATAAGGAGTGTGCCAGCTGCTGTCAGCCGACAGCTGCCTGTAATCGTTCTTGTTTTGCCTGACATCATTTCTGCCGGGTTGCTGATTAACCTCACTGACTACGCGCGCCGAGGCCCTGATCTTCCAGACCTAGGGGTCTGTCGTCCCCTCCCCCCCATATGTTGCCACCTGCGTCTGTACCCAGGGACGCCGCCCGTCCGGCTCTGCTCTGTTTTGACGTCACCCACCTGTTGTAAGCCGCCGTCCCTTCGCGCTCGCCTGCCCCCGTCTGACCTGACCTGACCCGACCTGTCTCCTCTCGTCCCCGTCAGGTGGCGCTGTTCCCGGGCAAGGGGCGCGGCGTGGTGACCACGCGACCCTTCGCTCGCGGCGAGTTCGTGGTGGAGTACGCTGGCACGCTGGTGGACCTGGAGGAGGCCCGCCGCCGCGAACGCGTCTATGCCCAGGATCAGAACACAGGCTGCTACATGTACTACTTCAACTGCAAGGACCACAACTGGTGGTGAGTGGCGCGCCGGTGCCGGAGAGTCTGCTCAGGTTGGAAGCAGCATGGTGCAGCCTCGAAGGGGGGGGGGGGGCTGTCATTGCTGGAGTTGAACGTCCTGTCAGCCGCCGATGGTCGGTCGTCGTGCCCCTTTGTGTTTTAAGCGGGGAGAGGCTGCAGGTCCCGGTCGAAAGACCGCGAGTTGCGACTGGGGAAACCCCTGTCCTGCCCCGTTTGATGTCAAAAGACCGCGAGTTGCTCTGGAGCAAAGCCCTGACCTGTCCCGTTCGATACCGGAAGACTGCGAGCTGCCACTAAGGAAACCCGCTCACGTCAGATGTGGTGCGAAGATAACCTATGTTACGTGCGTGATGTCCGCTGTGTCTGGTATGAACGAGAATAACTTTGTGGGGATGCGTCATTGTGGGGTGGACTCGAACGGGGTCACAGTCATGGCGATCGTGTCCGGCCAGAGCGACATGGCGGCTGACAACTCAGAGGGATGCCGGTCTTCGAACCGTTCTTGATACTGGAGGATGCTATGAACTGGCAGGATATGGTGGCTTGTCCAGAGTGATTGAAGCTTATGCATATGCAGACAGGTCTGATGTGGAGGTGTTTGATAACATAGATGGCAGCATTTAGTCATAGATGAGTGTTTTGTAGAACTTTTTGCTCTATAGGGACGCTCCGTGGTTGAGCCGGTGAGTTAGGCCTTCTTCATGTGCTCAGTGTAGTGTCACCGGTGCCCGCATAAAACGTAGCTGAATTTGGCTAAATGAGCGCTCGGAAATGTCAACAAAAGTTGCATTCAGGAGAAAATAACAGGCGGTTTGTGATGCTGCAGTGCTATGCGGGCTGGGCGTCGGACCTTCGTCGACCGAGTGTTCTAATGTGGGGCAGCCGCTCCGCGCCTCAGCTGTGGTCCTGGGCCTGTCGTCACCGCAGCCAAGGGTTCTAATCTGAGGCAGCGCGCCGCGCGCCCAGCTGTGGTCCTGGGCCTGTCGTCACCGCGGCCAAGGGTTCTGATCTGGGGCAGCCGCTCCGCGCCTCAGCTGTGGTCCTGGGCCTGTCGTCACCGCAGCCAAGGGTTCTAATCTGAGGCAGCCGCTCCGCGCCCCAGCTGTGGTCCTGGGCCTGTGGTCACCGCGGCCGAGGGTTCTGATCTGAGGCAGCCGCTCCGCGCCCCAGCTGTGGTCCTGGGCCTGTCGTCACCGCGGCCAAGGGTTCTGATCTGAGGCAGCCGCTCCGCGCCCCAGCTGTGGTCCTGGGCCTGTCGTCACCGCGGCCAAGGGTTCTATCTGAGGCAGCCGCTCCGCGCCCCAGCTGTGGTCCTGGGCCTGTCGTCACCGCGGCCAAGGGTTCTGATCTGAGGCAGCCGCTCCGCGCCCCAGCTGTGGTCCTGGGCCTGTCGTCACCGCGGCCAAGGGTTCTGATCTGAGGCAGCCGCTCCGCGCCCAGCTGTGGTCCTGGGCCTGTCGTCACCGGGCCAAGGGTTCTGATCTGAGGCAGCCGCTCCGCGCCCCAGCTGTGGTCCTGGGCCTGTCGTCACCGCGGCCAAGGGTTCTGATCTGAGGCAGCCGCTCGCGCCCCAGCTGTGGTCCTGGGCCTGTCGTCACCGCGGCCAAGGGTTCTAGTGTGGGGCAGCCGCTCCGCGCCCCAGCTGTGGTCCTGGGCCTGTGGTCACCGTGGCCAAGGGTTCTGATCTGAGGCAGCCGCTCCGCGCCCCAGCTGTGGTCCTGGGCCTGTCGTCACCGCGGCCAAGGGTTCTGATCTGAGGCAGCCGCTCCGCTCCCCAGCTGTGGTCCTGGGCCTGTCGTCACCGCGTCTCCTCGAGGGACTTGACGATGAAGGTCGTCAGCTTGTGCTAAGTCTGGCATTCCTGTGGGTCAATCACTATGTCGCTCGAACCGTACACAATCGCTATCCTGAACCTGTTCAAGTCCGCGCTAATGTGACGCCACCTGACCGCCTTATGCTGTTTGCATTCCACTGCGATATTGTGGGCTGTCTATGGGTGTGTCGTATAGTGGCTGGCCGTCTGTGGGCGTGTCGTGTGGTGACCGGCCGTCTGTGGACGTCGTGTGGTGACTGGCCGTCTGTGGACGTGTCGTGTTGCGGTCGGCCGTCGTCTGTTGGCGTGTCGTGTGGTGCCCTACCGTCTGTGGACGTGTCGCGTGGTGGCCTACCGTCTGTGGACGTGTCGTGCGGTGGCCGGCCGTCCGTTTGGCGTGCCGTGTAGTGTCCGGCCGTCTGCCTGCGTCGGCGTCCCCCCCCCCCCTTGGCTCGGATGGTCGTCAGCTCTGACGGCAGGCCGCCTCTCGGTAGCATCGACGGCACGCCGGAGACGGCCCGGCTCGGCCGCCTGGTGAACCACAGCCGGCACGCCAACAACTGCGTGACGCGCTCGATCGAGGTGGACGGCCGGCCGCGGCTCGTGCTGCTCGCCAGGAACGACATCGCCAAGGGCGAGGAGATACTCTACGACTACGGAGACCGCAGCAAGGAGAGCCTCGAGCACCACCCCTGGCTGGCTTCGTAGTTTGCCGGCGCTCGCACCGGCCACCCATCACTGCCAAGCACTGGCGGCGCGGCTCGCCCTAGCCGCCCGGCGCTGCCTGCCCGTTTGTCCGTCTGTGCGTGTGAATGTGTATGCGCGCGTGCGTGCGTGTTAGCGCGTGGGTGTGCGGCGTCAGCTGTAGAGCGGCGCCGTGCCGTGACGGCCGGCACTTGCCATTGTGTACACTCCGGTGACGGCTGCTGCGATCGGACTGATCAGGCAGATGAATGTGTGCGGTCGAGCGGCTGCAGCGGCGGCCTCTCCGTTGACTTCACTCAGCGCCGGCAGGCGGCGCTGGCGACTTGGCCCGCGTTCTATGCGGCCGCCTCGGTGCCGCCGCTGTATCCAGCCGCGCTCAGGAGGCCGATGCGGAGTGCGGCCGAGCGCCCCGGGACCGCGCTACTGGTGCCCTCAGCGGCAGTGTCGCCGGCCTCTGATCGGCCGCCGCTCCGCCCGGGACGCGACCGGGGCCAGAGCCGTGCCCCACTCAGGATTCTGTGTAGTGACGTTGGTGCCGCGCTACCCGGACGCTGCGGCCGCAACCGGCCGACGCCCGCTCTGCCCGAGGAGGAGACCGCGGCGCCCGACCGACCGACCGGCCGGCCTGGCGCCGCCCGAGCTTGTGACGCCCGAGCCGGCGAACTGGCGCTGTGTTATGCCCGAAGACGGCATGTTAAACGCGGCGGTAACTGGGGCCTGGTCCCAGCCAACGTCTGGCATTACCGTAGTGCTGTGGTTTACTGCGTTGCGAGAGACTGACGGTGGAGCAGGCGCTCTCGCCAATTCCGATCAGTTCCAGGTGACGCCTATGTGCGCGACGATCCACTATGCGAACGCTGGCGTTTGCCGCACAGCTCAAGTATTACCTACCATGCCTCCTTGTTCTTGGTCTTGTTATTACCTGTCGACGCCTCGCATTTTTGTGTGGTATTAGGTCCCGCGGACTTCGCGGCTTGAGCGCGCGCCACGTAGCGTGACATGTTTTACTGGCAGGTGGGCGATGTTTCGTTTCTGGCGCGAAGACGGTTGCGCGGCTTTGGACTGTTTTCGTATTGTTTTCCCTTCAGCTTTCCCTCGTCATCTTTTGTCTGCACTTGTTTTCGCGTGCGTTTGCTGCGTGTACAGTTTGGTGGTTCTGTCTTAAGCGATAAGTTTGCGCGGCCGCCTTGCGTGGCGGCGGCGCCCTGTTCCTGCCGGCGCTGCTCCGCCGGTGCCTGTACCACTGCCGGCGGGGCGGCACCTGTATCCGTGTACGGCGGGCGGGACCGAGGATGTGCCGCCGATGCCCGGAGGTCGATCCCGGGTCTGAGCGCCGTTGGGGCCGACCCCGCTGTGACCCTGCTGACCCGCGGGCGCAGCGACGCTCGGGCCGCTGCGCACACCCAGGCGGCACCCACCGCTGTCGCCCGAACCATGTAAAGTATTTCCATTCGTAGAAGTTCAAATACATTTTAGCCAGCTGTTTGCCGGGCGATCGCGGAGAAGCTGTGAGGTGGTAGCGGAACTAATAAACTAGTGGCGGCCGGTGAAGTATTGGCGGATCTCGTCAGGGTGCCGATAGTGTAGCGGTTAACCCGTATGCGTTAGCCGCTGTGCGTCTTGGAAATCGAAGGTACGGGGTTCGATTCTCGGCGGTGCCCACCTTTCCTGCCCGATTGAGAGGCGTGGGATGCCACAAAGCGTCAGCAGCTGGGTGCGTCGTAAAGCTTTATTGACGGCGGCGGAACGCGTCCGGTCAGGCTTCCCTGCCTGCGGTGGCTTAGCGCGGAGCACCGGCGTGTTATCTGCTGACGCGACTGACTTGTGGACAGAGAAGATCGCCGTTGTTGATAGAGACTGTATGCTCGTAAACAGCGGGCACATAGAGCAAACAGCAGCGAATCATCCTGCACCTCCGCGCTCGGCTCGGTGTGCCGGCACCCCGTCCTCCGTCCCGGTGACCCGTCTTGACCATGTCCACACGTTATTGATCGTCCCATTATTCTGGTGGAGATGTAGGTATGGCGCTGGCGGGGTTTGAGGAGATTCTGAACCCTAAGTCCAGACATTGAGGGTGGACAAGTGTCCTGACTCTTGTTGCATACACCGGGGTACATACTAGTCGGGAAGGCTATGGAATATCCGGACGGTTACGCTATATCGATAGCACTGCCCATCACCCGAGCGCCGTGGGCCGGCAGCGGGCCAGGGATGGCCGCAGAAAGGCAGAGCAGTTCTGATGCTCCGTCCAGCCTGAGGGTGTCGGCGGACGGGCTGTCCCAATCTGTGGGTGTCAGCAGACGGATTGTCCCAGTCTAGGGGCGTCAGCCGAAGGGTTGTGCTGGTCTGAGGGTGTCAGCAGACGGATTGTCCCAGTCGAAGGGCGTTTACCGATCTTAAGTGTCAGCGGACGGGCACCAATGGGCTGCCCGCATCATGAACATTGGCGCGAGCACATTTCGGAACGCTGCCTGAAAACTCAGGCGTGACCCTGGTTGGGACGCTCGACACAAAACGCAGTAACCAGCTCCGTGTTTCAAGCTACCGTACAAACGGTTACACCCCGGCCCGGCACACATCACACATATTGCCCCAGCTACGCGACAACACAGGTATAAATCTAGGCAGTGCGACCACCAGATTATAGCCACTTAATCGTCTCACTTTATTCCAATGCTCCTGCATACCTGCCACAACATAACGCTGAAATCAGCTACCCGTACGTATTCAGGCAATTGCTTCACTGCCAAAGACATGCGCACTGCCCAAGAGGCTGGGGTTGAAGCTCCATCACGAAGTTACTGCTTTGGCGAGGAAAAAACATAAAGCAACAATATACCCAGCTCATTTCCTTTAGACATGTCCTTGAACGGTCATAGATGTGTCATTCCAAAAATTGACAATCCATCTTGTTCGAGGAGTTTTCTCTGAAAGTGTCACCCATTTGTGGTTCCTTGGCTGAAACGCAGCGAAGGGCCGTTTCATACTGGGCCCCTGACTGACAGGGTCTTTCTGTTGCTTCATTGTGGAACACTACATTGTCATTCTTTGTACCTCCTTTCGTTGTCATAGGCATCGACCAGCGCAAGGGGCTATCTGGGTCGGAGTCCCGTCCCTGGTCAGCAAATGAGCCCCTGGCCGACTCGGGGCCCATTGCCGACACATGCTGCTTGTTAGCATTGAGTATTCCTAACCGACATAGAGGCCCCTTATGATTTCAGAGGCCGAACAATGCGAGAGGCCTCCATTGGCAATCCCGGGCTCCGGTCTTGTTCCCTTACTTGAGAAATGGACCGCCCAAGGTCATTTCCAGAGTCCCTTAGTACGTCCTCCGATCAGCTCTTCGGAACCACCGATCGGGCCTCTGATCGTTGTACCCAAGGTGCCAAAAGGACCTAGGCGCAGGGAAGGTACGTACCCCTATGTTGCCTGTGTCCCTGCCCCTTGTGCCATCTGTCTGCGCCCTGGTGGTAGCGGTGCGGCGCGGTTGTAAACCAAACGCGTTATTAGTGTTTACTGAACGCGGTAGCAGACGGACGGAAGTGACGAGCGACCAGTCGCAGAGCCGATTCTGCTGCCATCTGTTAACAAGTTTTTAAATCACATCGTGCGATCGCTGCTTGCCGCGGCAGGACTGTAGCTGCCACCAGCATGATCATACGTAGCATGTATTCGTTACGAATTGGTTGATGCTCATGGATTAATGGTTGATTTGAGTCGATAGGCTTCATGTCGCAATATAAACACGAGGATGCAATAGTTAAACACCATCCTCTGTGTTATATCGGTAAAGTCTCGACATCAAAACAATATGGCTTCAGGAATTCCCAATGGCCAGCCGCAGACGGTTCCAGGACGAGACTGTACGGCACGACAACGCCCTGTGCGCCAATCTTACAGTCTTTCAATCAGTCTTCCAGCTGTCTGAGCTGGACAGCGAGCAGCCCCGAAGCGGTGGCTAACCATGAACTCATGACGCGCCAACAGTGGTGTGAGGGGTGTGTAGCGACCGGACCTCCAGCGGGGTGCAGGGGTCCCTCATGGTCCGGAGGCGCCAATGTGGTTACTGTGTGCGACAAGGCCACTCATGCCGCTCTAGCCTAGCGACTTCAAAATCGATCAAATGTGATCCCGGCTCGCGCCCACGAGCCGACCCAGACCGCGAAGTCACCTTTTGTACTCGGCTGAAATTGCAACTTGGCTTTTGCGCACGCCCCAGACAGAGACCTGAATACAAGATGAGAAGAAACATCATGGACTCCGGTAACGAGTTAAGCGGTGTTAAATCAGGAATGATGAATCTGATATAAATATAAACAAAACAGGATGGAATAAAATTAATTGACTGACTGGATGTCCCTCTCCCAAAACGGGGTAGGTCGAAGGCAACTTCGAACCTCTTCGCGCACGACGGAGGGGAGAGAAGTGATATGAAGTTTGAGTTGTTAAGATGTAACGATTGCACTTTGCTGGCCCGGGAGGCCCCGCCCGACGGTGACGGGCTCGTTGGGGCGGCTCTCTGGCTGTTCAGATCGTGCAGGGCCTTTCCATACAACATGACCTTGTTCTGGGGTCACCTGCCGCCGGCCGTTGTGGCCCCAGGGATGTACAGTGCTCATATCGAGATTGTACTGCTCTGACGCCGAGGATATGGCTTGTCTCTGCGCGCTTTTCTCACGTTCTTGGTGTATACGAACTGCGTTCAGGTGGGCGTCATACCGAACCCCGAAGGTCTTTCTGGAATGATTTCCGAATGGCGCGGCGTAGGCGCGCGCTTAACTTTGCAAAGCTGAAGAGAACCGGGGAGCAGATTTTCTGGCGCAAAAAATCAGATATACCTTGTAAGGTCGTTGACCTATGGCAGGCCAAGGTCAGGACATGACTGTCAGCGAACGGCATTGGTAGGGAGTGTTCAATGTGATGCAACAGTGACGTGTTAGACGAAGCTATACATATCCGAGATAGTTTCTTGGGTAACAAACCAATTGAATTTAAAATGGCAAGCAGCTCCATTGACCTAGGGTCAGCCAAAAAGGTCATAAGGAGGTTAAAACTAACCTGTTGTTTTACTCGAGTGCTTGGTTTTTGGTGTAGTTTCTGGCATTCATTTCGAATTAATGAATGACAGGGACCGCAACAAACATGCTTCATGATCTTTTTAAAGGTCAGAAAAGGTCAATGATCTAAAATGGTTCCAAACAGTACTTTAATGTTCCTTAAGCAAAATTTTGACTTAGGTCATTCTAGACCAGTTGCCTTCTCTGACCTTTAAAAAGATAATGAAGCATGCTTGTTGCGGTCCCTGTCATTCATTTATTCGAGATGAGTGCCAGAAAGTACCACAAGGCAAACACTGAAATAAAAAGCAGGCTAGTTTAAACCTCGCTTTGACCTTCGTACTTGGCCTTAGGTCAATGGAACTGTTTGTCATTCCTAATTCAATTGCTTTGTTGTCCAAGAAACTATCTCAGGCATGTATGGCTTTATCTATCACTCTACCGTTGCATGACATTGAACGATTCCCGAGGAATGTCTCTCGTTGACAGTCGTGGCCTGACTTTGGCCTGTCATAAGTCAACGACCTCACAAGGTAGTTACTGCCGACGCCGACTGCCGGCGTCGTTAGCTCAAACTTGAGATGGTGTGACCATTAGTGCGCATCAACACGCGTCAGTCAGTACTAGCAGTGAGTGCGCATCGCACGGCTTACGTCAACGTCTACCAGCTGACTGCTGATGTCGACGAGTTAGACTATCAAATGAAGTTCATGCTGCCCAATGATCCTGGAGCTTCTTTGTTGTTAACTGGGAGTCTCAACAGCTCCGTTGAGAGCGCGGCGTAGCACCAAAGAGCAAATGCTGCTCTCAACATTCACCAACATTACAACAGAACATACGACAAATATAAAACGACGCATGCGACATCTACGAAACCACCAATGTCCATCCCAGCTATCGCCGAGCGATCTCTCTGGTGCATGTCATCACCAACAATAGTCCTGACGTCCTGCGCAGGGTCTGAAGGCCGCGGTGTTATCGCGGCAGCCCTTGCGATCTCACGCACTGTGTCGCGCGTCTCGATAACCAGCGGGCGTCTATTCTGTTTTGTACGCTACGTTACTGGATTGGCAAAGTTGATGCCGACGCATTTAACCGCCAGCTGTGGCGGACTGATTCGACGCAGGTGTTATATGTTGATGTCCCCTGAAATGGGGTGGCACGCATTCAAGCAAATAATATTGCAGCAGTTAAAAACGGTAGCTTCGTTTCCAAGCATGTGTGCCAGGCAGTTCACTACCCAGGCTGCGACCACAGAAATCCCGCGGCTGCTGAAACGGCGCCGCGCGGCCCTGGTGGCCATCGACTGGCCCGAGCACGAGCACGTGAACCGGCTGTGCTGCGCGGCTCTCCGCAGCGACTGGCAGCCGCCGGACGAGCGGGAGATAGCCCGGGCGATCGCAGCAGCCTGTGGCGAATGCTCCGGTC